ACTCTGAAACCTGTCAGAGTGCAGATGTGAACCGAAAGACGAGGAGAGGTGTAGTACAGCGAGAGAAGTTTGGCAGGAAGTGTGTAACTGAAACATACCCTCAAAAATCTGTTCTAAAACTGACCTTCAGAATATTCTCCAGTACCACACGGGCCTCTCCAAATAGAGGATTAAATACTGAACCTCAGAGGAGTCATTTGAAAATATACTTCTTTAACCAGGCAAGAAAGCAAAAAGATGGTACACAGGAACTGCCAGTCTGGTTCAGACCCGAGGTCTGTCTAGCTTAGAGTCCTGTCTCTGTGCTTCAGTGGAAGCAGCAAGAACCCTGGGGGATAATTGCCCTCCCCACCTGCCCCAGGAAGGTCTCAATGATCCCCCATAATTAGAGACTGGCCTAAACGTGACATGGGAGGTGTTTCTCTCCCCAATATTGTTTTTTTGGCATTACGTGTTGTAACTCTGGATATTCTTGTTATCCATGTCTGAGATTCTAGTCTAGACCCTCCTCTGACTGCTGGAATAGAAGGCCCCAGACACTGTTTCGCTGTGGACCTCCACAGCTCCCATTTTCTTTGCAGGAAGAGCAGGAAAAGTTTGGTTTTTTTACAAAAACAAACTGCGGAATCCGATGGTTTAGTTCTCCTGTTCTTCCCCTCCCTCAAACCTGCCAGGAAAGGCTTCCTACTTGCCACTGGTGACTGGACTTCTCATGCCTGGCTCCTGGATAACTTTATTTCCCACAGCTATCCCTCCCTGGGTCAGCTACTCTCAGCGATACTAAACCCTCTGGCATGTGGGACATGATCTTGCGTCTCTGTGCTGAATCTGTCTGGAACGTCTTCGGGCCGAGCACAGTTCCAGCACCACTGGCTTACCAGCCCAACGCTCAACGTATGGTAATGGTTGTGCTTTCTGGAAACTGCTGCTGGGCTATGGGAACATTCCAGCAGTGCTCAAGGGGTTAAAGAGGGAAATTCTTTAAGTGACAGTAAGACAAAATTATCCAAAAGGCAAGTTATTTAGATACCTAAAGCTGCCACTAATGTGGACAGGACCCCAAGGAAGGAGGAAGCTCGGTCGTCATAAAACTGATCAAGGGCAGCCAGGACATCTCGGATCACATCCTCCACCAGTGGGAGAAGGCTGGCATCTGAATGCCTGAGCATGGCCTCCAGGACCCGCGAGGCGTGAGGCTGATGTGCCACCCGACGCAGGTTTAGGGAAATCCCATTCACCAGATAGTCCGAGTTAGCATTAATCAGATTTTGCACGGAGTCATAGCCACAGGCATGGCAGACATCCACCATGGTTCCAGTCGCCGTCTGACTAATGAGCAGAGTGCTGTCCCCGGCCTTTTCAAGCACAGGGTAGAGGACTGATGCTAGAAGCAAGCGGAACTCTTTCCCCAGCACATACGCAAAGCAGCCAACCCCCTCCAGCTGGATGCAGATCTGCCAGATATTGCTGTTCATGGAGCGGATGGTTGGGCTTGGGTCTGAAGAAGGGGAGGAGGATGAAATCAAAGAACTGCTGTGTGCACCTCTTGGGATAGCGCGTACTCTTGAATGTTTCACAGTTAACTCATCGCTGGTTCCCTCAGCGTCAATGCTGGTGGTCAGATACCAGTTTGCCTGGTCAGTAAATTCTTCGAGGATGGATGTTATGGTCCCTTTAAGGTCTTCCATGCTCACTGCAGTTTCCCTTTCGTGAAGAACATCTACCCCCAGTCCAGCAGCTCCTGTGATCAACTCATTGAGGACCATGGCAGCTTGCTTCCGGTACACAACAGATTCGTTGTATAGCCCCATGAAATGATCCACTAGCAAGTAGAGGTTCCCATAGTAGCCAAGTACCCGGCAAACCTGCTGAATGAGCAAGAAAATCCGCTCATCAATGAAGAACCGGAAGTATTTCTTCTGACCTTTGCCATGCTGCAAGGAACCCAAGGGCTCACCTAGAGAGTCTTCAGGGCCCCAACGTCTTTCTTCAACAATCTTCACATCAGCTACATCCAGCTCCAGAACTTGCATCAGGGCTTTGGAGAGACGCTGGAGGTGGGCTGCAGAGTTGAGCACAATGTTCACCTTGGGGCCCAGCAGCTTCAGGGAGCCGAGTAATAAGCTCAAGGTAGAGAACTTGCCTTGATCATCCTGGGAGTTCATCAGACGTGGAAGGGCTGTGGCAAGGGAATGCAGATTCTCTGACAGAACATCAGCAAGAGCCCTGTTCTCAGCTACTGTTCTCAGCTCCGCAATGCTCCTGAGAATCTCATGACACTTGCTTTGGACTTCATTGTTTTCATCATTAACAAGCCCAACCACGGCTTTTAACAGGTGACCAACTGATTCCACCAGTGACTGACTACACTTCAACATAAGGAGATGGACCAGCTCCACCAATTCCATCCTGACCTTCCAGTGAGGGTGAAGAGAAGCAAATTCAACTATCTTGTGGATAAGGAGAGACAATTTGTCTGCAGTGCCTTTTACCCAGTCCGGTCCTCTATGGACCACAAGCTCAGATCGTCTGCTTTGTTCCACTGAAGGCTTCTCTTCATCCTGTGTGATTGTGGCTAGTTGTTCATCTGCCATTACCAAGCAGACAGTTTGATAAAAGAGCCTGATGGCAGAAACAGTGACCATATGACCTTGTTTGATGTCTCCAGTAATAACCCGGGACAGGGCAATAGAGATCCCAGGTAGAAAAGAAGCAAACAAATTCCCACATTGTCTTGTTTCAACCGTGTCTAGGAGTCTATGATGCTCCTGGCAGTCACACTGCAGAATGAGGACCTGTAAACACTTTAAGGCAGCCAGCTTAATTTGTTTTGCTTTCTCTTGTTCTGCCAAGGCCAAAAGCAAAGATACAGCAAATCCTAAGTGAGGAAGGGTAGACGGCTGATACAAAGTCAGGATAATGTCCCCATAAGCTGAATGCATCAGGACATGGAGTGCTTGGATTACAGTCAGTTTTAATTCCTCTGATAGCGGGGCTGGTGGCTGCAAACCAGAAGGAGAAGATAGACACAGGCAGAGCTCAGAAAAAAGCTCCTGAAGGAGGTCCTGCTTCTTCACACATGTTGTTGAAAGGATGGACGTGATGCACTGCACCACACTCTGGACAAGACTCTCCCGTTTGGGTCCTGGGGTCTTCAGGGTGAACCTCAATGGGAAAAGGACGTACTCCTGCAGTTCCTGCAGGGCAGAGTCACTGACTGTCTGCAGCTGAGCCTGCAAGCGTTCCACATTCTCAGTAGTCTGCACCTTTGTCAGCTGTACACAAACTGGGCGCAAGATCCCGAACGCTTCTTGTGGGGTATCAAAAACTGCCATTGTCCAGCAATCCTCTTATGGGTCTGTAGTTATCATCCTGCAGGAAGGAAAGAAAAGCAATACTTGCTTCAATGAAAGCCGCCTTAAAACAATTGCAATCTGTTCCTTACCGATTAGCCAGACCTCCTGTGCTCAGAAAAGTGTGACAGTGCCTATTGCAAAGCAAAAGGTAATTCAATTCATTTCTCTCTAAGTGGTATAAAAAGCATTCAGACTATTATACAGAAGCTCTTTAGGCTTCCACTCTAGAAGTGCTTTGAGACCTAGGGATGAAAAGCATTATATAAGAGCTTGGAGTTGTTGTTATTATTAGAATTAAAAGTATATACTCACCCCCCCATCCACCCTTACCTATAGAAATCTATAACTCAATGTGTTTACGTGAAAATGGTCTATGTTAGTCACATCTGACTCTAAGAAAAATAAATCATTACTGATGATTGGTTTTTAACACAGCAGGTATAGACCCAGGGGAAGAGGGCAGTTCCTTAGCTCAAGTACAGTGAATGTTTGTTTTGTTCAACATTTCTCTTTAGTTTCTGGCAGCATGGGTTGAGCCCCGTTTCTCCAGTGTTTGGCTCCATCTCAACCAGATTTTCAGCAGTGTTTAACTTTGGTTCTCAAAAACACTTTAAGCATGAGTGTAACCAAATAGGATTGTAATTGTGAAGACAGATTTTTAAAGGTACCTAGATACTTCCAGATGCAGACAGCAGCCTAGTGGGATTTTCAAAAGCATCAAAGGGACCTAGGCACTTCTTAAAATCCTATTAGGTATTTATCTGCATCTGGAGGTGCTGAAGTATCTTTAAAAATCTGGTCTTTGGTCAGGGGCCATGGGGGCAAACTCTTAGAACAAAAGCCATATTCTAGCGTAGTAGGGATATGGCAGAGCATATGCTTGTAGGCCCCAGCTTGAGTCTGCTGAGCTAAAGTGCAGAACAAAGGTGGGTTGATATACTGGATGTGCATGTGATAGGGTAGTGGTAGGACTCTGCTGATTGAGTAGTGTGCTCTGGTGTCTAATGAGCATTAGTATGTAGGCTGTTCCATACTGGAATCCATACAGGGCATCAGTTACAACCCATACGTCATGGGGACCACATCCTGACAGAAATCTTTTCTGAACCTTCTCTTCTAGCCTTCAAACAACCCCCAACCTCTCCAAGCTCATCATCAGAAGCAAGCTCCCCATAGACCAAGACCCAGCATCTCAAAGCAGAACCAGACCTTGCCAGAACAACTGATGCAAAACCTATAGACATATCTCCACTGATCAATACTCCTCACGACCCCCCTTTCAAGACCTACACATGCCTGTCACAACATGTAGTGTACCTCATCCAGTGCACTAAATGCCCCAATAACAACTACTGTATGTGGGTGAAACCAGACAATCACTATGCATTCGAATGAAGTCACACAGGAAAATGGTGGTGGTGTTGTCTTTTACATCACCCAGGGGTGAATGCTCTAGGTAAAACGATCACTCTGTATATGATCTCTTACTCCTCATTCCCAAAGAAAACCTGCACAACACCTTTAAAAGATGAGCCTGGGAGCTTAAATTCGTAACTTTGTTAGACTCTTAAAATCACGGGCTGAATAGAGATATGGGATTTATGGCTTATTACATCATTTTATAACCCACTAACCCCTCTCCAGCTTCCCCCCTATCTCCCTATGACTGAAGGGGTGTCAACCAGCCACTTCACCTTGAAGGAGCCCTTAAAATATGTGCTGACTACTTATGCAAAACAATCTGTTCCACCTTGTATTTCACTGTGATGCCCTGTGTACCTTCCCCAGACTGGAAGAAGAGCTCTGTATAAGCTTAACCGCTTGTCTCTTTCACCAACAGAAGTTGGTGCAATATATGACTGCACCCACCTTGTCTCCCTAATGAGAAGTTGACAGGTAAATCTCTGACCCTGATCCCTCCAAAAAGCCCGAGTGGGTGGGATCACTCAGTGGCACTGACAGATGCTCCTGAGGAACCCATTCCATTCACAGGTGCACAGCCCAGGAGGTGAAGGCCATGCCTCAGGTGTCTCTACACAAGTGGCCTGACCTGGTAACTACGGCCTTGGGCTGAATGTCTCTGCTTACACCATCTATCTGTAAGGACACCCAACACCCAACCAGGCGGGTCCAGAATGCTGAGAAGGGTAATAAACAAGTAAGACTCCCTCCACCCCCTCTGCTCTCCCCCCCTACCCCTGTGGCACTTGCAGCAGCCCTCAAGCCTCTCCGAGCCCAGCAATTTAAGAGCCCCAGGCCTGTC